ACCAGCGGCACACCAGCGGCTCATCATGTGTGTTTCTTTTTTAAAAGAATATACTAATCGAAGACAAGAGCTCAGCAAGCATGCGAATTCAGCTAACAAACTAGCAGGAAAAAAAGCATCGTGTGCCTCTGGCTTGACTTTTAAAAAATTGAAGAAAAAAAGAATGACGACATGTGAATTATGATTTTTCAAAAAATTCAATATTTCGAAACTCAAGAAAACTTAAACAAATTATATTATTTTAAATACAAGATATTTAAATAAATATCCGAATGGTCATTATTATGCATATGTATATGTGTGTTACAAAGATAGTGTTAATAATTAACTTAAAGATATAAAAACTGATTTTAACTAATGTGCAAACTGTTGATAAATTTTATCAGAAAAGCTTATTATTATCAATGTACATCAATATTAATGGCATATATACATGATGAGTTAACAATTACATTTTCATATACTTATTTTTCTACCGTAGTACAATACTACTTTTACCATGCAACGATGCTATTTAAATGGATCCACCACCGAAGGAATCGCCGATACGTTCGCCGCTTCGCTGTGGAGGAATAAAAAGCATATGCGTAAATGGAGCAAAGCGGGCGGCATAAATTCAAATCTATTTACGTGGCAAGGGTAGCGTAATTTATTGCCTGCCAACGTAATGGAAACGCCCATAGAGAAAGAGATCTCCCCGGTGCAAATTCGATTATATGCAGTCGTATCCCCTGAGTTAGACCTCCGCGGGTCTTCCCATCCTCATTCCACTCGATTCTCCTCTGGCTGACTGGAACAAGTTAAATTAAAAAACGTGCCGTGTATATGGACCTTTATATTTCATAGCGGTTGCCTTTCCGTTCGCTAATTGTGAGTCTAGAACCGCGACTCACAATTGATTCCAGCTGGTAACGGTTGAAACCAATTGAAAGCTTCATTCGAATGGAATAATAACATTTGATATCTTTAACTTCAATGTATATTATGGAATTATATAAAATATAATGTATATTATATTTTATAAAATAAATATCACATTAAAAATACCGGAAATATGCGCGCAAGATATATTAAATGCTATGTATTTGTTGCATTAAATTAATTAAAAACTTTTTCTTCTTATGAATATATCTATGTATTAGAAGAAGCTTTTCCCCGACAGTGGAAATCTTATATTAATAAAAACGGACACAAATATAAATGTGCGAACTAGACGTAGGTGTGTGAAACGAGCAGTTCGACGCATTCTACACCCTTCTACGAATTTTCGTCCTACAACTTCCCGTGGCGGATTTTTTTACGGTGACAAACGACTCCTGGAGGCGTGTCGACATGTATGCGACGGAACCGACAAAGGGTGGGCTTGCGTGATCGAATTCGGGTAGAAGGACGCCCACGGAAGTCACGAGGTCGCGCAATCGCAAAGATACCCCCGTGCAATCGGCGATTTTTGGAGAGCATCATCATCGAAATCAAGATCTCGCGTTCGATTTGCAATAGGAAAATCGATAACACGGCAGCAATTGCGAAAAAATTGAAACAATTGCACTGTTAGCAAGAAGATTACGATTTTTTTTAAACTTTCTTCCGAGTTAACGAAGTGTTTTGTACAAGGAATATTTTTAAATAAATTTACTTTGTACAAGGAATACTTTGTACAAGGAATATTTTTTAAATAAATTTACTTTAAGCTCTAAATTCTATATTACAAGAATTATTTTCTAAATTCCTTATATAAACATTCAAACAAATTCAATTCCAATTATATGTAAAATACAAAAATTTTAAACTATAAATATAAACTTTACATATTCTATAATATATAACTGAAGATTTAATACAAAAGTATCTACCAGAAATGCAAATTAGAAAAAATTGCTGTTGCAAAATAAGTATTTCGTTTATCTAGAACTTTATACAAAATATAAAAAATTAATATTTTTGTTAATTTTAAATTTACAGAATTGAGAATTTTAAAAATCTAAGCTAATTTAAAATCTACTCTGCGATTGCAATGATTCAAACTCTCCTCGCGATCGAAATATTTGATATACTTTTCGATTTTTACTACTTGATGCATTCGCATAGTACGCAGTGCTTGATGTAGAAATCAGACAATTTCTGACATTCATTTGCCGCGTGGCTTACTCTTACTCGTAGACACCCTTTTGACGATGTAATGCCGACGACGCGTATGCATGACAGATTTTATGGGCATCAATCGTGCGCATAGAAAATGCTATGCCATCTGTTACTCCGTGGTCAGGTGGAAAATTTAACGATCGTCACGATGCATTAGGGAAATATCGCACTTCGATCGATCAGGCTTTTATGCGAGTTCCGAGTGTCCAACATCTCTGCATATATGAAATATGTCTACGAACATGTGCTTGTTTCATGGTAAAAGCTGACTCTGTGTAGGCAGATTAAATCGCCGCTTCGAGCAGCCTACGGAATTGATCTGCCACGCTGGAAAGCTAAAGCGCGAAGATGGAATTGTTGAAAAAATAGACAGAATGCTTAGCAACAATATTGAATGTATGAATATTAACAAATACGTTTTGCAACTTAGTTATTCTGTTATTCAGTATTTCTGCTGTGATATTTAGTCATGTTCTATGTAGTGTTATATATGATAATCTTAATAAAAGAATAATGTTAATTAGAAGAGACAATTTTCGCTGCAAAATATACTGACATTAAACTTACATAAATGATTAATATTGTGATTAATATTGAACTTACATAAATGGATTAATATTGAAAATATTTTGTCTAAATATATGTTTTTCATTTACAGATGTATATCAAGAGATCAATCTTTTTTCTTTGCAATGTATTTTTCATGAGATATAGATATTCAACAAAAATGTCATTTTTTTAATACAGTTTTCCATCGACATGCTTAGTCTATCGCGTGCGCGCACATATACATGTACACATGTGAGTGAGTTAAACATAAAGGATAACTGGTTGAAAATAAACCGAGATCAAGGAGTCGTCCTATAATCACAGCTGTGGCCTTTACGATCTGTACGCGTTTATGTACACGTGCAATCGATCCGTACAGTCGGATGTACACGCGAGCTTATGGGAAGGGTAAAAAGGAGGAAACAAAATGAGGGACGGGCAAGGAGAACAGAAGAAATATAACGCGAATGATCCCGGGCAAGATTATAAAATGGCGTCTCTCATCCCCGTGACCGTTCTTAATTTCGCTCGGTTCCTTTTGTCCTCTCGCCTTCTTTCCCTCCGCGTTTCATTTTCTCCTCTCATTCTAAACTCCTTGCTCGCAGTCAGACGCGATCCTTTCTTGTTCCGCGTTGCTTACCGAATCGAGGAGAATCAGCAGCGCGAGCTCAAAGGGACTCCCGAGGGATGATTTTCGAATTCTTTTGCGCGACTCCAGTGAATACGGCCGCCGTGACGCATCAATAAGCCGCGATGGATCACGAGTCGAGTTATTAAGCGTAGACAATATTTTCGGAGATTTTTAATACTTGACAAAATGAGAAATCTATCTTAAAGTCCGCTCCCTTTTATCTCAGTATATATTGTAATAAACATATTTTATACGATCCATTATTTATTTATTTTTAATAAAATGCCACGTAACAAGCAAGTGTCTCTTAACAAATTTTCTATAAACAACAAGATTTTTATATTTAATATCATTATAATAAATTTCAAAAATGGATTATAAAATTTTAATATCCTGTATAATATTAATTATGACAATATCCATAATAATATTCTCCTTGAATATCAATATTGTTAACATGTTCTTTGTCGTGTACATCATCAGTAATATACATTAACTTTTTATTTATATTAATCGTAGACTCAACAAATAATTCTTTAAATATACATTCTTCATATACAAAAAAAAAATATTTTGCTGAAATATCTAAAAATTTAGCCAGCTACAGATCTGAATATATAATTTTGATGAGTTATCAAAATAATTATAATAATGTCAGACGTTCAAATTTATTGTTGAAATATCAATAATTTTCAAAATATGCTAAAGCATAATAATTTTGATGATCCAACAAAATTAATTTTAGATTTGTATCTGACCAAATTTTTAAACACTTTAACAAAATCGTTCTTTTCGTTTACACACACATTGTAACTCTTTTACGATACTAGCAAAAGTATTAATATTTTCATTAATATGTTATTATTATATATCTAATTCTAAATAATATTTCTATACATCGATCAGACTTCACACCGACTCTTCTTCAAGAGAGCTATGATCTAACCTTTACAACGCGCGAATAAAAGACGTAAACGCACGGAGAAGATCGAATTACATTCGGCGTCTTACTACAAAGCACATTGGGCTCTCCGTCCGAGAGGATTAATATCGTCCACTATCAGCGACCGTCAGATGATGACGATAGTTGCCTCGCCTCGCTCTTCTAGATCCCTCACCCTCTCATTCTCCCCCGTCGTGCTAGGGGTATCTAACAACACCCCAGTAACGCAACGTACGGCATTGGTGGCGTGCGCCATATTGGGGGGCGGTCGAGCATCCCGCCAATCGGCACCTACCAGACGCTAGCGTGGGTGCCAACCGCATCCAATAACCCAGACACGTGCCCCACCAAACAGCCGCCACACCCACGAATGTCACGTGCGCACAAGCAACACCGTTGTTGATGGACTAGTCGTGCGCGTACTCTCGTAGCGTATTCGTCGTGATGACTATTAAGTCTTTTTTACGCTGAGATATTTACAGGAGTGTGTTAGTGCGATAAGATACCTTGAAGATAACTTGACGAATAGTCAGACTTGTTTGTTACCGGATTATCGAAACTTCGCGGAAAACCTAATACGTTATTCGTAGTGACGATCTGGGCAAAGTCCCAACAAGAAATTGCCGTCATGTAACATTGAGAGGCTTGCTTCGAAAAAACGAATTTCGTGCCCGATTCCGTAAACTCTGAGTGCTCGATTCAAAAGTAAACTGTGCAATCAGAACAAGTGCTTCGAAGTGCTTACAATTAATTATTTCCGAAGACTAGAAGTCAGCAAAAAAGTTTTAACGAGATGTGTCCTCTTTCTTAAGAATTAATGATGAATTTATTCCAAGGAAATTTTCTTTTAAAAGCTTAAAGCTTCAGTTCTCCTCGAGATACACCTCTCAAGACAAGAAGCTTGGATTTTCCAAAGATACTTTTATTCTCTCCCACTATCGTGCTTTATAGAGGTAACCATCGGCGAGATATCGTGGACATGGATTTTATACTTTTCTGATAAAAGAATTGCTGTCGCTCACTCAAAAAAAAAAAAAAAAAGAAGAGAGAAAGAATCGATATGCTTCGTAGTACGAGGCATTTTATTCGCTGAAATTGCGGGAAATCACATAGATAATAGCCGCGAGCGCGATTGCATGCGAAAGCGGTGGCAATTATGACTAAGATAAGACTAGAGTTGTTGGGGTGCGAGGCTCTTCCTCTGGAAGGGATGTATCGTTCGCAACGGCACGACATCTTAACGCCGCAGAGCAGTCCAGAATCGCGCAGCGTTCGCCAAGAACAGCACAGCAGTGCGGACAGCGTCGGCTCCGCGATCTCGCAGGGTGACATGTATCCGCTAGATCAGCCCACCTTCGAACTCGATCATCTGTCTCTGCATATTCCGGCGATCCTTCATTGTAAGTGTCGACCAGCGGTAAACAGTAGTGCCGAAAAACAGATTGAGATCATTTGATATTCCTCGGATACGAGCTTCTTCGAATTTAATTTTCTCTCTTACGTAAAAACGTAACGTCTCTTTAATTGCGCTCTTTAATTTCTCTCTTGTCTGTTGTTATAAATAATACAAGCAGCATTCTTCTCTCTGTCAGAGAATTGCGAAAAATATTATCTCAATCTTACTTAATCTTCAATATATTCGAAAGATTTCGCAAAACTGATTTACATAATTGTTTATATCTGACGAGATGTTTGACTGTAGGCAGAATTGCAGTTTAAATATTTTAAATATATTAATACTGATAATATTGTGAGTATTAGGGTACTTTGACTTCTATTTGTTGTTTATTTATCTTAAAATAATTAGACGATGTCTCTAAACATCATATTATTAGTCATTACACAGAAAGAACAACTTTATTGACATAAATATTTAAACATTTGATTAGATACAAAATCTGAAAATAAAGATGTTAAGAAAATAAAGATGCCAATCAAAAATCCCGTTAAATTTATTATAGAATGTCTTATGATGCAAATTTTTTTCATATTCTAATAATTATTTAAACATAAATATAATTTAACATTCTTATACATAATTATCTTGATGGCACAACAAAATTATCTCCAAATTTGTATCTAGACAAATTTTTAGATACTTCAGAGCAAAACTATTTTTTCACTGTGGATATCCAGATAATAAATTACTGAGAAACAATCCTGAATAGTAATAATAAATATTAAGTCATATATTTGAATTTTTATATCAGTACTCGAGGTTTATACTTTAATTTTATCATATTTTATTAAAATATGATTAAAAAATAAAACTCATAAATTAGTGTTAACATATTCTATACTATGTAAAATAATTAAAGATTAATTTTTATTTAGATATTAAAACTGATAAAATAAATAGTTATTCGCTAATTTTAAATTAAAAAAATAATATATACATATGTATATATATATATATATATTTTTTTTTATAAATATATAATCTATAATAAATTTTGTGAACATAATAATATATTTTTATATAAAAATATTAGCTTTTAGCACTGTTACATGCTTACATTTTTTTTTAATATTATATTATTGTTAATACTAATATTTCATTATATTATTTATTACATCTATTGCCTCAATTGATATGTTACAGCCACGATACCAAAATGTGGTGGATGTCAGGAAGTTATTTTGGATAAATACGTTCTAAGGGTCTTAGAGAGGTGTTGGCATGCAAGGTGTCTTACGTGTCGAGACTGCGGTGCTAGATTGACCGACAAATGTTTCGCGAGAAACGGCCATGTGTTCTGCAAAGACGACTTCTTCAAGTAAGCACCAATAATTGTTGTCACAACGTTGCTTGCACATATACACATGCAAATATTTCCAAAATATAACATAGATCATGTAGATCATGTAAATTTATAATATATTATATGAGTATTTATACAAGAAATTGTCTTTATATATTGTGAAAAGATTATCACAGCTTAGCTAAACTAACTATTTATTACAATTTATTATCCCTATTAATTTATTTTTTATATTATCATTAATTATTAATTTAATAATAATTTATAATATACTTATTTATAATATTTAATTAAAAAAAAGTGATAGACGAATATTTCAATACTTTTTGCGTTTGATACTCGATTGATTTCTTCGACTTATTTTTTTATCAACAATATACTATCGTATATAGTTCCTTATTGTTGATAGCATAATTATATATATAGTTCCATCGTATAGATGAAAAATATTATTCTTTTAAAATATATACCTATATTGTATATTTCAGTGCGAATTCCGAAAGAATATATTCTTTTTCATTTGTTTGTAAAACAAGGAATCATTTTTCTTTCTTTCAACAAACTATCGATATAACTTTTAATCATTTTTTTTCAGTTTTATTATTCATTTTCTGTATTTTTACAAATCTTTTATTTGAAATTACTATAAAATTAGATTTAATTTTAATAGTAATTTTAACATTTTAACAGTATAAAAATAAAATAAAGGATATCAGCATAAATAATTATATATAATAAACAGAAATTATTGTCTTCAATATAATATTATTCCACATTCATGTCGACTAATTTAAGGAAACGTGATAATGCTATACCAGTTATATAGTTTTGTCATTAAAGTGTGAATGTAATGTGAAAATATTGTATGTTGTTGGTGTGGCAGGCGTTTCGGGACGAAATGCGCGGGCTGCGGCCAAGGATTGGCACCTTCACAGGTAGTACGAAGGGCACAGGAGCTTGTCTATCATCTTACATGTTTCTCGTGTGCTCTTTGCTCACGGCAGTTGGACACCGGCGATGAATTTTATCTCATGGAAGATAGAAAACTCGTCTGCAAGCCTGATTACGAACAGGCGAAGGCGAAAGGTAAAAATATTTTTATGTGATACTGTATTATATTAATACATAGTATATATATATATATATATATATATACATATTTCATAAAAAGTAACTTTTTTTTTAGAATTTGTTTCTTAAAACGTAATTTTCTAAAGTGGTTTCCATTCCTGACGTTATTTTATAAATAGATAATTTAAATAATAAATTAAATAATTTTAATTTTTAATCCATCAATTATTTTGTAAAAGTATTCTGCGAAACAATAATGAAGATTATTTAAAATTGAGGTATAGTGTCTTAAATATTTTTACGACTCTTCTTAACGCTGAAAACATAATAACCAAGAAATTTAACTCAAAATCTAATTTAAATTAATTTATTTAGAGAATAATGATTTAAGACAAATTTATAAATTTCTAATACTATACTCAATTTCTAGTAATATATTCAATTTTCAGAATTGGCAGATGGAGGAAGTATAGACGGTGATCAACCTAATAAGAGGCCGCGAACGACGATCACGGCGAAGCAGCTTGAAACTCTCAAGCTGGCATACAACACCAGTCCGAAACCAGCAAGGCACGTGCGAGAACAGCTGTCTCAAGACACAGGCCTCGATATGCGCGTCGTTCAAGTCTGGTTCCAGAATAGGTAAGAAAAGTCGAGTAGGACTTATAAGGTTTCTTAGATTTCCAAGTCTTCTTCTTATACAGAGACTCCTCATATTACGATCTGTCAAATTAAATACGTGTGTATTGTGCTTAATATAATATAATGAGAATAAAATTCATAGAATGTAGAGTCCGATTAAATACATCGTTGAGAATTACACGTTATATAAACAATATGCGTTGCAAGAGAAATTACATAAGAAAAGTTAATTATAGATCCTGACGAAATCATCAAATTAAGAGAGACGCGCTGCTTCATCGTCAGGATTCTGCATTAATGTCTGACGTGGCCTCTAATATGGTTTCTGAAGCCATTCATAAAAGCAATCGAGAGATTCGGAAACGTTGAAAGATATTCGTCCGAATATATATTTCTTTTGACATAAACCATATTAGATAATTCAATTAACTATAACAAAAATTAACTTTTATTACAAAAATTAAAGTTTGTTTTTATTCGAAAATTATTCTTCGTATATAACATAAAAATGTCGCTTTGCGAGGATTCGTAAATTCAAACTGACCAAAGATTGTAGTAATAAAATGAACGTCTATAAAATGGCTAACTTTATTCTACATATCCAAGATCATGATATCCGCAAGTTGTAACTCTATATGTACATTTTTTCCTCTTATCGTCAAGTGGCACTATGTGATATTATAGTAAAGGTAACGACTCGTCGCGAAAAATCGGTTTATCTGGAAAGGGAGAGTTCTAGTCGCTAACCTCCGTCGATTATCAGGTGCGAAGATGTTAGAAAGCACGTCCGTGAAAATAACATCAAGGATAAGTAAATAAGACTATCAATGACAGATAGATAACTATATAATATATAAATTCATAAAACTGCATACGTATAATGTAGTTTTCCGAAGAACTCGAGCCGACATTTGACGTGATGTGAGATTAATGTCCGACTGTCACGAGATAAGATACTTTAACTATATTCAGCGAAATGATAATGAGAAAATAGAAATTTGTACGGGATGCTACAGATACATCATCAGTATTTATCATTCAAAAATTGTTTATCATCCCAGAATTTATTCTTTTTCTTGAATTTATCGGTGTTCGCTATCAATATCTATTGAACGCGTGATAAAATGATAAAATGGGTATTTCATTCTATTACATAGTTATAAATTTCTATTCTGATTATCATTGTTGTAATGTAACATACAGTATCTAAGCGCATCAATAATTTTTAAATATTGTCTAGAAAAAAAATTAATGATTAAACGCGATGAGATATTATCAAATGAAGTCGATTGCAGTGATAGTTCACGTCTACCTTTTGTCTATTATAGATACTTTCTAAAAAATTTCTAATTTTTTTATTAGTAGTACACTGCGTAATCTACATTTCCTAAATTCTGTGATTTTATTTAAAAGTTTTTTTAACAAAATTTCTTAAGATAGTTCATTGATGATTGTTAGTAATTAGTATCATTATCATGATCTCTGTAGGAGGGCGAAAGAAAAGAGGCTGAAAAAAGATGCTGGTAGAACGAGATGGTCTCAATATTTTCGCAGTATGAAAGGCGCCGGTGCAGGTGGTCACTCGCCTAGACACGATAAGCTTCTTGACAAAGACGAGCTGAAGGTAGACTTGGACTCCACCTTTGGTCATCACGGTGAGTTGCATTATTGCATTATCATTTTGTTGATATAAACACAAAGGTTGTAATAAAAAGATGACAAGAAAAGTTAAAAGATAGATATCTTGTATGTTGCAATTCTCATGTTTACTCTAAACAATCTATAATTATAATTCCTTCAACGTTGGAAACTTCTAAGCAAATTTTTATCTTGACTATAAATTTAGAGCATAAAGATAAATGTAGTAAAAAAATTTTTATCTAAATTCAGAAAAGCAGATTCTAGGTTTACAGTTAACTCCGAATAAGCTTCCACGACAAAACCTTAATAGAAAACTTACTTACTAAAATAGGAATTATAAATGTAAAAATTTTTGAAACGTAAATTAGAAAAGAATTATTATAATAAAAATTATTTTTAACAACGCGATAAAAATGAAAAACATGTGGTTGGCAGCATCTCATTTGCTTAAGATTTATTTTAAATAATTATATGTCAAGGCCATTTCTTACGGCCTAGTAATCGCATTAGCCGCTTTCGAAACAATCTAGATGAAGCGGTGTATTATACGCGGTACTCCCAAGTAAGTGCAGGTAATAGCAAGCATAAATTCAAGGATGGCCCGCAATCTTCCTGAAATCTCGGACACAGTGAGTCGGCAGTTAGCCTCCGCGATCTCCTGAATATTTGAGAAGATCGTCCTCCCCTCGGGTAGCAGGCATCTGGATACCGGGAGACCCAGACACACAATGGATGCTGTCGGTTGTTGTGCCTCGACTTTCGACTTCCAACTTACGACGCTAGAATGATCACTCGTTACGAATAGATAGCTGCCGGCGCGAGACTGAAAGCACTTCTTACCCTTTAAATTTTCATCGTTTTCATCTAATTTATTCGGTTATTTCGCAGAGTAACAAGATATCAGTCGATATGTCTTATCTTCCCTTAATCATTGATTTACGTATTTTTTATTTAATTGCTAATCTGAAATTTAACGAAGGAAATAATTTGTTCGCAGACTTGAGTAACGACAGCTATGGAACAGTGGTGAACATGGGTCTGGATGGCGAGAGCGCGAGTCCAGGCGGCGGTGGCAACGGAGCCGGGGGTGGACCACCCCGCGGATACCTCGGTGCGACGACACCTCCGTATCTCTCAACGTCCAGATCGCCGTCCTTACCACCTCAGTTCCCGTATCCGCCTGACGCTGGTCTCTCGGTGTACACCACTCTCGGTAGGCTTGATGCCAAATAACATATCTTGAAAAATTGCTTTCAGCTCTCTCAACTATCAATATCCTTCGTATTTCCGAATCTTCCAATCTTAACGTCTCCAATTCTTCCAACTTTTTGGAATTTCAAAAACTTCTTCGTTTTCTCAAACTCCGACTTTTCTTTCTACCAGAGAGAGATTTTCAACTTTCTAACTCCTTCGACTTTCCGAACTGTCTGAATTCTCACAAATCTCTCAATTTCCCCAGCTCTCAGCCCATTTCGGATGGGCCTTGCTCGCTAGTGATCAATAATACACTCGGATTGAGACAGGAGGAAAGTCGGACGTTAAACTATTCTAGCATGAGAGTCGCAAGTTTACGACTGACGCAAACCGTATGATTCCAGGGGGACCGGGCGGCATGGTGCCAGGACCAGCATCGGATCTGAGTAACGAGTCGAGCGGAGGCGGCGGCGGCGGTGGCGGCGGCGGCGGCGGCGGCGGCGGCGGCGGTGGTAGCGGCGGCGGCGGTGCTTATCCCGATTTCCCGCCATC